CTCATGCTCTTGTAAAGTTACAGCCCACTTTTTAAAGTGAATATATGGCTATCTTTAAAGCTGAGTAAGGTTTCCTCTTGGATGACACGTTTGTTAACTGGCCCAACTAAAGGACAGGTTTTTCTGGGTAGGGGCAAGGTCATTGTTCATGGATGTTTGTATAGGGAAATCCACCACATCCCATTTGTTGTTTTAGCTTTAGGACAACAGCCCCTGGACAGATGATATTTCACAAGTTTCAAAAGATTTGTCAGATTTTACTGAGATGAATTCCTGAGGCTGTCACCCTAATTGGTGTCTATTGTACTAGCATATCCTGAGTTTCCCTTCTCATAGCCTGCAAAAAAACTAGCATCCAACTTAGTAACTGAGCTTCCCTTTCCATTGGTCAGGCAAGAGCTGCTGTTCAGCCCCGTTCCCTTCTTCCTATCTCTCCCAGCTGCTCAGACTCACAGGAGTGATCCCTTCTGCTGTATTTAAGCCCAGCCATAAAGGAGGGAGCATGCACTCAGTCCATGAGTCCCACTCCCCTGCTGGCTTCAACATTCCTGCTACTCCCTTTTTTTTCTCTTCCTCTCCCAAGTGATTCCTTTTCTGCTTCCCTAATTCCTCTCAAAATGGTCACCCTTTTCCTTCTGCTGGGTTAGCAGGAAGTCAGCTCTTCTGCAGCGTGGTAGGCTCTGCTGATGCCGCTGTCTCTGAGGGAGGGGGGTACTGCGGCTGCCTGGTGATGGGAAGATGGCACCGCAATGACATCTTACCTGACTTAAGTGCCTGCCTGGACTAATGCCATACAAAAATCCAGTCCTGATGCGAGCAGATGGCCCCGGCCTATACGGTAGCGCAGGAGCTATTTTATTCAATACTACATAATACCAAATACTTGCTGAATGTGTCAAATCTTCCCTAGCGCTGCCAACCTGGCTGCGGGCTTCCTCTCACCTGCTGCCCGGGAGCTGCTCCCTGGCTCTGGCACCCCTTCACCTCCAGCTAGGAGGAAATGAGCCACCTTCCAGGATCGGTGCGTGGCCAGATCCTGCCCGGGGAGGGAGGGGTAATGCCTGCACACCGGCGCGGCTCTGGAGCCTCTCCAAGGCCAGCAGCAGGTTTGCTGAGACGCCACCCTGCTGGGGAATGCACCTGCCCGGGAGAGAGGTGAGGGCTCGCAGCCTCCGCGCCGCAGCAGGAAGGGGAGCCGGCAGGAGCACCTGTTTCTTGGCAGGCAGTTGCCAGAGGAAGGGAAGAGATTTTCCCCCGTCATCTCCCTCCTTAACTCGATCCAGTGGAAGGAAAGCCAGGAAAACCCCTTGCTGCCGGCCAGGAGCAGGGAACAGTGCTGGGCTGACGTGTGTGGGCAGCGTCTGCTGCAGGTGAGTGAGTCCTCCTACCTGGGACCCGTGTGTGTGTGGGAAGGGATGTACTCCACCAGTAGCTGCTGGCAGGTTTGGGGGCTGCTTCAGACGTACTTCTTAAGAGACCCTGCCTCCTGTCTCCACATCATTTCTTTCTTGCGCCATCGTGTTTCCTCGCAGCACATAAGGCTTGGGAGTTTCTTGTTCCTGTGGGACTCCCAGGCCTCCCTCAGCAGAGGTGCATCAGGACAGGATCTGTGGGGTCAGGATGACGGATGCCTGTTATGCAAACAGAGAGGAAGGGGAACAGAAACTTTATAATTGAGCACACCAAAGCTATCTAGATTTCTATTCAAAGCAGCTGCACGCTGACTCTGTTACAACAAGCCCTCCACTATCCTCACCCTCAGAGCCCCTAGCCTTGGTGAAAGGAAGGGACAGTCCACCATCACCAAGAACTTCCCTGAGGCTTCTTGAGTGATGTCTGGGGCAGGAGCACTGGTGGGACAGATTGTCAGTTTTGGGGAAAGCATTATCCCTCTGGCAGGGTAGAGAGGGTGGGCTCTCCCCAGAGATACAGATTTAACAGCATAGGTTTGCCTGGATTTTGAGTAGCCATGGAAAGAAGAAGCATTGGGACTTGGTGGTGGATGTAGCAGCCAAAGGAGTGTGGATCCCTTGCTAGGATTTTGGGTGAGGCAGACAGATACCACAATAAAAGCCCCATTACTCCTATTCCCTACAGGTTCCTCTATCCATGCTCCTGAGTTCTCAGAGAAGAGAGAGGACCTTTCCACACATCTCAGGGCAGCAACATCCCTGTTCCCAGGGGTGAAGACGGGCCTCGAGCACTACGACAATCAGGGGTTCTGATTTGTGTGTTGGCAGTAAGTCAGGCACAAACCAAGATACATGATCTTCGTTCTCTTTGAGCTGACTAGGGAGTTAGAATAGAATAGGATATGCTTAGATCAGCCCTGAATTGGTCAGGCAGTTGGACTAGATGATCATTGTAAGTCCCTTCCAACTGAAATAGTCTATTATATTCTGTCTCTTCTATTCTATTTCAGTTGGAAGGGACTTATAACAATTCAGGGCTGACCAAGTTAAAGCATGTTATTAAGGACATTGTCCAAATGCCTCCTAAACACCGACAGGCTTGGGGCGTTGACCACCTCTTTAGAAAGCCTGTGCCAGTGTTTGACCACCCTTTTGGTAAAGAAATGCTTCCTAAAGCATTGGACATTGGAAAAATTACATGAAAGGATGGCAAAATATTTGTGCCTATTCTGGAATAGAGATTTCTGTGAGGCACAGAGTGGTGGCAAGTCCATCCCAAACAGACTATGGCCAGATCTGGCCAAGAAGTAAATAAGCTGTGATGGACTGGAGAAGCAGGGGGGAGGAGATGGCTTATATCTGTTTGAGATCATGAGGCTTTGTTGGGTCTCATTTAGATTGCTCATGGAAATCATTTTATGTATTGTTATTTTACAGCAATTCTTGCCGAACTCTGCTGGTTTCCATGATGCTCCCAAAGTCGACATAGCTGCATAAAACCCTTCCAAGGCTGGAAGTGCTGCAGGAGACTCTCTCACCCCCAGGCTTCCCCTCCTGCACACTGTGGGTAAGCAAAGTCTCATGGTGTACCCTGGGTTCGGGGAGAGGAGGGAAGTGAGGAGTATTTCAACAGCTGAGTTTATATGGTTCTGAAGTGAAAGTGTTAATTAACATACAGTCCATGGCCCATCTGTCAGATATCTGACAGTCAGACATAAAAAAGTCTACAAGTAAACAAAAAAATGCACATACCATTCCCAGGCAGTCAGCAGGCATGTGTCTCCCACACCTGCAGCCAGGAGTGGCCAGAAACTAGGTGAAGATGACCTTCAATTCCCAGTTTAATTTTGTCAGAGTAGGAAAAAAAAAACCAATGAAAAAGGAAAAACATGAACATTTTTGTTTTCCTGCATTCCTAGTGCTTTCCTGTTCTTCCTCCCCAGCTGCGAGCCAGCAGTGGGGAAGGACAGTCTGTCAATTTTTTCCTGAAATCTGACCTTCAGTCAGAAAGCATTGTGTGGCTGGGCTGGTCCTCTCCTCCTTGTTCTCTTGCATACAAAGATGGGAGCACAGAGAGTACTGGCTTCAGTAGTAAGTAAACAGTAGAGATTAATGAGCTGTGATAGACATTATCAAACTGGCTAATCCGATGGGCTAACTGGCTTAAGCTCACAAAGGTGTTGTGGTCTATTGCAGACCAGTGAGACCAGGTAGCCTGAAGAAGGGCTACAGAATGCAACTGCCATGGAAAGGCTGTTCTCCCTCATGGCAGAGCAGGGAGATCTCTTCCTTTCTCTTGGTCTGATCTGGGCAAACTGATGTGCTGCATAATGCCAAGAAACCAGATCAGCAAAGTTGCTGTGAGATCTAGTGTCATCCCTTCTCCAGGGAGAGGTGAGTAACAGCCCAGGATAGGGTTGCTTTGGTTTAACATACAGCCAGCCAGATTTTTCTTAAAAGGGTGGGAGGCAATGCACCCCTGCTGAGGAATGGGAAACTGTGGCTAGATTTAAGGAAAAATCTATTTGTGGTGCGAATGGTTAAACAGTGGAATGATCCCAGAGGACCTGTGGGTCCTCCATCTTTTGCAGTATCCTGCACCCGAGTGGATGGAGCCCTGAGCTTCTCAGTCTGACTTTGAGGTTAACTCTGCTTTAAGCAGGTGGAGGGACCAAGTGACTTCGCAAGGTCCCATCCCACCTGAATTCTTCTGTGATTCTGAGAGTAAAAATACTGTTGTTAGCAGCACAAACCCCTGCAGTCCAGAGAAGCCCAAGCAAGTGCGGATGCTTATAGAGCAAAATATCATATTCCCAGGACATTTTCGAACAGACACAAGGAAACATGGAGGCACACTTCAGTGGAAGCCTCTCCAAGTCATTTGTTTAATAGAGGTTAATATAACAGCAGGAAATACGTGCCTGTAGAGGTCACACCTTATTGTATTCTGCAGCCAGACGCTTTAACAGTTTTATCTGTTCCCTGTCCTTCTTCTGAGCAAATAAAAAATAACATGGTTAAATTTTAAAAAGCAACGTGGGAATGCAGTGCTGTAGCTTGATTCTTGGTCGCGTTTTCCCTCATTGTGGTTTGCACTGTAGTGTTTTTTTTTGCTTACTGTTTGACTCACAACTTGTGCGCGCGACTTTGGTCAAGCAGCAGAAGGCCGCAGACTTTGCACTTCTCCAAGCTTTATGTTTTCTTAGTCCCAAATCTCGATTTAATCTACAAACCTGCTATCTACTAGACTCACCCGCTCGCTGGTAAGGAGGAGATAAGGCACCTCTGTGCTTGGAGAAGGAAAGGCAGGAGGAAGTAGTGCTTAGCACCGAGCTGGTTTGTGTAGGCTGGGGAAATGTCTCCAGGCTCCACATCTTCTCACCCCTCTACTTTGAAAGTGCCCCATGACTGACATCCTCACCTTCTGGGGACCTGTGGGCACACGTGGATGGCACAGTGGTATCTGCTCTCTCATGCAAAACCAAAGTGGGTCCCAGCAGGCACAAATCACCATACTCAAACAGAGCTTTTTTTTGTTTGTTTGTTTATTTTTCTCTCTAATTGATGCTTTCTGATTGTTCTGGCTCTAGCCAGGAGCTGCAGATTCCCCCACAGGCCTCCAGGCTGGTGTATCCCCTCTGGATCCTGGGTGTCTGTGTCCCAGCCTGCTCCCCGTCCCGGCAGGCACCGGCACCGGCGGCCGTGTGGGGCAATGGTGGGGCGGGCAGCTCGCACGGGGCGATGGCGGCCGGGCCTGCCAACCCGCCGCAGCTACGGACTTCCTGGACACGTGCTGCCAGCTGGCAGCCTGCCCGGAGCCACGTCCAAAGTGACCTCATGCTCCATCACAGCCGGGGAGTGACTCAGGAGGAGCTTGGCCTGACACGGTCAGGCGGTGTCTGGTTCGGGCTCCCTCCCCACACACGCCATTGTCCTCCCTCTCCCCCCACCCCACATCGGCTTGTCCCCGACAGAGGGGGGGTTTTGAGGCCTTTGCTGGCAGCAAAGGCACTGCCGTAAGGAGGTGCAGTCCGGGGAGACTGTCTGAGGACAGGGAGAGCTGGTGGGAGGAAAGATCCCTGGTGTGTGCAGAGCTGGCATGCGTGGAGGTCACAAATTGTCCCTGCTCCTCCGTAGTGAGCCCAGAGTCCCGGCGCCATGCAGAGCAGGGCACAAAGACAAACAGGGTGTGCTTGGCACGGGCTGACAGGCCATTTTGAACCATCAGGGTGGCCGTCTCCCTGCCCGGGAGAAGTGACACAGCTCTGACACAGGGGATCTGCATCAGTTCCTGTCCCCACCACAGGCTCCCGCAGGACTCTGAGCAGTTTGTGCATGTGTGCCCATGCTGGCCGAGGCTGCATCGTCCTGACTGGGAGGTGACCGGGGAGGCATTTTGGGGATCTCCAGGGCCTGCCCCATGTCTCAAGAGCTCAGCTATACCTGAGATGCTCCTGCTCCACAGCACCTCTCCTTGCTTTGCGTACTAGCTGTGCTGGAGGGTTCCTCTGGTGCTGTGGAACCAGCTGGAGCACTCACATGCCAGGGCAGGATGTTATGTGAGAGAAATAGAGGAGGTTTCCATTCTTGGTGTAAAACTGTACCCAGAGAAGCGTTGAAGGGGGCCAGGATGCCAGGGAGGTGATGAGCCCAGGATGCTGGGCTGCAGGTTGAGACAAGGTGCTGTGTGGAGGGGAGCAGCATGGAGCCTGCTTCCACCCTGCAGCCACCGCTGACCTTCTCGGGCTTCCCTCCAGTGGTCAAGTGCTTCACGGATCAGCAGAGAAGAGAGCAAAATTGCAGGGTATCAGGTCCCAGCTGTCTGGGGACTCCTTCCAGGGAAGTGCTGAGACCACTGGAGATATAACCATTACTTTTCTGTAGGGAACTTGGGAGGGGGAACCACTGGCAGTGCAGGGGGAGAGACAGGGCTGAGAACATGCAGCAAGGGCAGCTCTCACTCTTCCAGCGACTGGACTGGAAGGGTTAAACCCTGGTCCTGACCCCCACCTCCCGCTGTCGTTCTGGGCAGCAGAGCCAGTTGGTGACAAGAGGCTGATGCTGATGAGGGAGCATGTGAAGCCAGAGCTTGTGAATGGGGCTTTATCCCAGGAGAGACCTGCCTCTGCTCCGTCCCTGCCCTGCTGCCAGCACCAGCTGCAGGCAGAGTCCTGCGGGCAGCAATGTGCCAGTAGCCTCTGAGCAGGGGACACGGGGTTGGGGAGGCAGAAGACTTGCCCTTGGGGCAGGCTGAGTTTCCCCCACAGTGCATGGAGGTCTTCCAGGAAGATGTGCATGGCTGAGCTGTGCTCCAACGCATGGGACTTTTGTGAGCGAGGCAGGGGAAGGGCTGCAGGCCAGCCTGGAGCAACCAAGGCCCAGGGTTTGGCAGGGGATTGTTTGGTACAGGGGAGCAGGGTCTCTGCTTAATGATATCTTCTCTTGACTCTTTCAGACGAAAGACACAGGAAAGGAAGGACGCAGCCCTGGTTGTTCCCTTACGGTGCTCCTCTGGGGATGCTCCATCATGTCCTGCAGCCCTACCTGGGGGGTGGGCTCAGCCCCAGCACATGGACCATAGCTCTCCAGGTGGCACTGCTGCAGAAGGAAGCTCCACCACGCTCCAAAGAATGAGACGGAGGCGTCCTCGCTTGAGAAATGTAGCTGTCTTCGCAACCACTGCTGCTTTGACCCTCCACTTCGCTGTAAGGGTGTAAATTCATCTGTGCAACCACCCCACCGTGCCCTTTCCACCCAGCCACCCACCATGCCGGAACTGGCAGAGCTGAGCAGCCCCCGCACCCCTGCTGACGCGGACCACATCCAGAGGAACATCTTGGAGGAGCATGTGGAGCTCTGGTGGTTCCAGGACCCCAAGAAGTCCATCCTGTGCTATGGGGTGGCTGTGGTGCTGATCCTGGCCTGCGGGATCGGGGGCATCATCCTGCTGTACAGCACTAGCAGCAGGTCTGGGGAGTGGCGGCTGGCCGTGGGCACCACGCTCTGCCTCCTGGCCCTGCTCGTGCTGCTGAAGCAGCTGCTGAGCTCTGCAATCCAGGACATGAACTGCATCCGCAGCCGTGATCAGATTGAGCTCTTGAAGAGCGGGGGCTTCTCGGACTGCCTGGTGCTGCTGCTCAGCGCCCTAGTGCTACTGGTCTGCGGGGTCGTTCTCACCATCCTCTCCACCACCACCATGCAGCTCAGCCCTGCACGGCCGCTGGCCAGCATGTTCACCAGCGGGGTTGTCCTCCTGACTGCCGGCGGTGCCATCCTCCTCTGCCTGCTGCTCTACCTGCTCTGCACCTCCTGCCGCCAGGCTGCCCCTCGGAGCCTGGAGACGGGCGAGATCCGTGTCTTCACCATCTCCGGCCGCCTCGCTGCAAACAGACGGCTTCCTCCCACCTCCAGCATGGCCAACCTGATTTGACCCAGGATCCTGCGTGACCCTCACTGGATACGACGTGTCAGCAGGGCTTGTGCTGGCCTTTCCCCAAGGAAGAGTGAGTGCTGGGGTATGCCTTGCGCTTCTTTTGGAGATGACTGGCATTTGCTTTGCCCCAGGCTGATGGCACAGCAGGGACTTGGGGTGCCTGGATGGTCACTGTGACCTGGCGCATTAGAAGCACAGTGCTGGCGTTTTATATCCACAAAGCCTCCTGCGACAGCTGCTGCCTGCCCAGCTGTGAGCCCTGTCACAGAGCTAAGGTGAGCCTGTCCTTGCACTTGCTTGGTTCCTGGAGTTCCCGGGGCTGTGTTGTGTGCTCTCCTGGCAAGAGAGGCTGTGACTGTGGATAGTGTAAAACCACCCCGGTCTCCATGCAGTGACGCCAGCTCAGACCCCTGTCTCAGCTGGCACCAGCACTTTGTGCCTCTGAGCCCATGAAGGTGGGCACACACTGAACTTGCTGTGCTGCCCTGTGTCGCGTGTCCCCTCCCTCCCAGGCTGTGGGACCCCTGAGCAAAGTAGAGCTGATGAATGGCAGGAAACATTCTGCGTGTCAGCAGGCATGTAGAGCAAGCGAAGGGAACTTGGGGGGAGGTAGGGCTGCAAGGGCTGCCCCCGAGAAAGCACCTGTGTGTTTGTGGGAGGGAGCATGGGATTTGTGTGGGATTATGTGTGCCAGAGTCCCAGCATGGCTGGACCTCAGATGAAATGCTGTTTGTGTGTGCAACGCCAGGATCTGTGCCAATATTACCTTTCTGAAGCCCACCATCTTCTGTGGTTTATCAACCGGGATGATCAAAGGGTGTTGGTGCCAAGGCCCTGATGGGTTATCAGTGATGGACTGTGTGTCAGGGCTCCAGGTGGACCTGCTCTGGCAGGGGGGTTGGACTAGATGATCTCCAGAGGTTCCTTCCAACCCCATATCATTCTGTGATTCTGTTATCATACTAGTGTGCTCCAGACACAAACAGCAAGGTTCAGTCGCTGGGGGATGGTGATGGGATGCATGAATCCTGGGACTGGGGCTGCTGCCCTGCAAGGGCAGTGTGAGGAGGGAGCATTGTTGCCCTCTGGCAGGAGTTTTCCAAGCGAAGGAACCTCTGCTGCTACGGGAGCACTGCAGGTCATCCCGTCCCTGCTGGGCCCAGCACAGCAGCATTCCCATGTTGCTTCCCTCTCCCAAGTGCTGCAGCTGCTACAGGGCAGAAATGTTCTTCTGCCACCACTTGGGCCTTACCTGGAGCTTTTTTGGTGTTTTATCTCTACAAGGTGTCTATCATTGAGGTGTCTTTACCAGAGGCAGACTAACAACTCACCCCTGCGCGCTTTTCCTGTAACTTCAGGCTGATTTACCTGTCAAAATTCTAATTTTCTCCATAGACCCACAAATGATTTCACTGCCCTTTCCATAGAAACAGATCCTAACCTCCTAGTGAAGCTTCTCCTACACAACCTTCTCTTCATCTCCCTGTCTGCTTCCATCTCCCCTTCATCTGAATTGCTCTGCCCCAGTCATTATTTTGGCTCATTTTTTGCTAGGTTCCCTCTGTAACGGAACAAGACTGAGCTATTATTTTTTGGTGCCTGGTAGAAAATTTATTTGGAAGAGAATGGTAGCTCATTCCCTTAGTAACAGCATGAATCGCTGTCCATGTCACACCTGGAGGCAGTGTCAGAGTTCAGCATCAGTGAACCCCACCAGGTATATGCTGGACAATGAGGACTTCATCCCTTCACAGCTCTAGACCACACCATCCCTGATGCATTCAGATTGCATGAGGGCACTTCTGTCTTCTGTATTCTTCCACTGTTGCCCTGCTCCTGCTGGCTTTCCTTCCCCCAAAGCCTTGGATTGTTTTCCCCAAAGTACGGGAACATAATTTTTGGCTTTTGTTTCTGAATGTCTGTTATTTCTACATTTTCCTCTGCCACTTTCGCACCATCTGTAGATTTTATTAAACTGCTGTCTCCTCCTCTCTCTGCATTACTTCCCTTAATCTACCCAAGAGTTCACAGGGTGTTACCAAGTTCAGGTCCTCCTAAATCCTCTGCAAAGCAAAGAGCCGTCCTTCCCCTTTGGGCTGTTTGATCCCAGGTCCCTGTGCGTGCACGGGGAGGGACAGGCCAGAGCTGGACAGCTGTGCACCATCACAGTTGCTCTGCACGTCCATGTGGGTGCACGGCAGTTCTGCCAGGCTGCACCGCCTCTGCCTGCATCAGTGCTGTAGCGGCTACTCCCCGCTCCCCCAACCTGCACGTGTGGACAGGCCGCAGCTGCCTGCACACCAGCTGTTTTGCACATCTGGGCATTTCTGTGAAGACTGGTGACCGTGCCCAGCTCACAGCTCCACGCTGCCTGCGCACCAATGTGAATCCTTCGCTCCATAGCCCCTTCAAAAGCTGCCCCAAGTGCCCGTGAATTGTGCCAGAAAAGGATGCTCGTGGGCCGTGTCAGCAGCCCGAGGAAATAATGGCTGAGAACAGGCTGTCCCCGAAGATGGCAGTTTGGGTGTCTGGCTGCCCACACGGACAGCCTGTGCTGCCCCAGTCACTGGCTCGCCTCTGCAGCAGCGGTACTGGTTTGTTCCTTTCTTGATTCTTGTGTTGTGTGTGGAAATACATAATAAAGTGTTACAGAAGTTGACAAGTGTTGAACGCTTATGCGGGAGGTGGCAGGGCTGTGCAGAGCTGGCCTCGGCTCAGGCTGAGCCCAGGGCAGAAATCATGACAGCCCAGGGTCCCTCCTGCGGCTGTGGTTTTGGCTCATCAGCTAGTGTGGCAACACCACCACAGCCCCCCAAATGCATGTACTTCTTTCCTGATACACCCACCTCCAGATGTGCACACATCTCTCTCTGCTTAAGACATAGCTGGTCCCCCTCACCACTGCTCTGCCAACCCAAGACCTTGCCATGCTCCTGAAAGATGCTCACATGGAGCACACAAAGCCTCCCGAATGTGTTGGTGCTGGCTGGTTTGTTTACAGAGAAGCTGTTTCACCCTGCGGTAGGGCTGAGCCTCCAGCCCTGTGGCGGCAGCCACTGCCTGCAATGAGCCTGGAACCAGTCTGCCCGCATACCTGCCACCGCTCCTGTCCACCAGCCTCCACCGCCGTCCTTCCCGCAGCTTCCTGGGGGAACCCCCTTCAAAAGGCTCCTCCTTTTCTGCTCTGACACCCTTGTATTCCCAGCTCTGCATGTCAGATGCGTTTCCCCCTACGTGAGCTGCCAGGCTCCTACCCCTCTCACACTGGAGCTGCCTGGAGAGGGGGCAGAGGGGCTGCCAGGGGACCAGGGCCCCCTGCACACCAGAAAAATGGCTACCTCTGCTGGGTTAAAGAACAAACGGGTGGGCCTCCCAGCAGGGTCAAAGGCAAGTGGCTTAACACTAGGTACTGAGGGACAAGAGTGAGAAAGATCCTGGATAAATAACCCTGGGCAGTTTTCTTTTTAGTCTCTTTTAAGACATCCCTGAGACCAAAAGTAAAATACTGCATCTAGCAGGAGTTCATGTGATTGAAAAGCCCAAAAAATACCCCCAAAAGATAACTGAAATGCATTTTCCCAGCCCCCAGATTTATGTCTTCTATCTTAGCTGAAAGATATTAGAAATTTCCTGCAAAAATAAAGCTCAGTTTAGAAATATGGCATTTAAGAACACAAACTGGCTGGCTACTGAAACAAGCCAGCAGGTTTTCCTCCTCATGGCTTCAAACAGCACATTCCCTCTCTGGAAGGTGCTTTAAGTCTGTGTCGCCCATCCAACGCCTGATCCGGTCATGCCCTTTGGTTTACATTCTCTGACGTGTATTATTTACTTCTGTATAAACTACGCTCTATAAATAACTTAATGAGCAGAGAAATAGAAAGGCAGCTCACAGTGAAACGGAGGTCTGAAGGAGATGGGGGAATTAGCCGTGTGGCAGGGCTGCAAGAAATGCTATTCCTGTGACTATGCTTCATTCTCTGGAGCATGATGGAGAGATCCCCGGGCTATCAGGGACTGTAACAACCGGACTATGCCCTGGGAAATCTTCCCAGCCGGATGGTACCAGCCTTGTGAATCGCTCATTAAGGAGGAATGCCACTGCTGCTCCCTGCTTTTAACTCCAGTGTGACCCACACGGACACAGCCGGCTACAGCAGAAACAACTTGCAGTTACCCATGTCTCACGTGCTGTTTATTGTACCACAAAGATGACAGGAATGCAAAAATTAGAACGTTCGTATAACTCCACAGTTAGAGATACAGACAGGACTCTGTAATGGGTGCTGGGGACAGGGCTGTCTCGCCCCAGCGCACGTGCCTGCCTGATGCCACAGCTGGCGCTGCCACATTCCCTCAGCTCTGCAGAGCTGGCAGGGGAAAGCTAAGAGATGTTCTGGCACATCCCGCTGGAGAAGGAAGAGAGAAAAGGAGCAACGCTGGAGAGAAGTGCACAGAAACCCTGCGAGGACACACCAGGGCTGCCTGCGCCACAGCAGGTGACAGGTTTGTTTGCACAAGAGCACTCCTTGTGCCACAGACCTGTTCTCTCACCGTCTCCTCCTGGCACTGCCACTGGGAGAGTCCCAATAAACCATCGCAGGCAGAGGCAGGGTTAAATCACGTTTTAATCACACCCTGGAGTGACAACACATTAAGGGACAGAGCAGGGCTGGGTCCAGTACTGAGGGCAGCAGGACTGGTGCACAAGACCCTGCAGGGAGCACCGGGGCAGGCTCCTCTTTGCACCCTACCAGGCTGCCCGGACATGATAGGCACTATCTCCTTCATCCTCAGCATCTGAGCAGGGCTGGGAACACAGCAGCAGGTCCAGTGTCCCTGTGCTGGTGCAGCCCCATTGCCATGGGGCTGGCTGCCTCCAGCCTCCATCACCACTCCCAGCTTACCTTGTCACCCCGCCTCTCCACTCCTTTCCTCCTGCCCCCAGGCACGTGGGGCCAAAAGCTGAGGGCAGGTGGAAAAGGGCAGGAAGGGGATGGAGGCAGGAGTGGGGATGGCGAGAGGCCGCAGTGGTGGTGGCTGGGCTGCAGGCTCAGATGGAGAGGTGCAACTCCTGCTCCTCGTCCTCTGGCAGCTGCTCGCTTGGCTGGATGTAGTTGTCCTCGATGAAGCCGTCATCATCCTCAGCTTGCAGGTCAGCAGCATCAGGCATGGGGTGGTTCTTGCTGGCCCCATGGCCTGAGGAGCCCCTGTCCCAGTCGCTGCTGTCCTCCATGGGGCTGCCTCCGATGGAGCTGGCTTCGGGCAGGGGCCGGTGGCGGTAGCTGGCGAAGTTCTTGTGGAAGAGCTTGCACTTGGCTGCCAGTGCAATCAGGAGGGAGATGCTGATTGCTGACACCAGGAAGCCCACTAGGTATGGCCAGCTCCTTCCTCCCTTCATGGTGGGTGGTGTGGTGGCTGCGGTGCAGGAAAGGCACGTCAGGGCATGGCAGGTCAGCTGGCAGCATCCCCAGCACTCCTCAGCAGCCAGCCCCGTGCATGCTTGCCGTACACAGCCAGCACTGGATTGCTTTAGTTAGGAGCAATATAAATGCTCTTTATCAAGAGCTGGCTACCAAGGGTGTGTGAACACTGTAGGGAAAACTGCTAGACGGCTGTCTGATACTGGTGCCCATCACCATGGAGTCTGTGCTCCATGTGGCTTTGAGGCATATGTTAAATTTTCTGTTGCAAAGCCATCAAACACCCTCCCCACCAAGCCACCATTGGAGTCCACCCTCCTGACCAAGCCACTGCACCAGTGATGGCCAGGCAGCCTGAGCTCCTGGGGCTGCAGAGCAGAGCAGGGTGTCTCTGCCTGCAGTCCCCTCTGAAGTGACAGAAGGCAGGAAGGAGCTGGACCTTACAGACACCTTCCATAGCTGCACAACTTACTGTTGCTGTAGGTCTCTGTGGTCTGCTGGGTGATGCTGACCTCCCGAGGAAACCGCTGCTTCATCCAGCAGCCCAGGTCCTGGAAATCCAGAGCTGCAACTTCCCGGCCCCGCAGCTCTGGGGGCGACGCGCAGGTCACCTGCATAGCTGGGAGACACACAGAGTAAGGTGGGACAGGGGTTCTTCACCCATCCCCTCCCCAGTTTAGAGAAGATGATCCCTACTTGCTCCTGGGTTGATGGGATGCGTTGCAAGGAGCTCCCAGCTCTGCCCTCCAGCCTCCCTGGACCTCAGCATATTGTAAAGCACAACCAAAGAAAAAATTCCCTGACCAAGGAACTGTGCAAATGTGTGACTGCAATTAGCAGTCTCCCTTTAACTGGATAATGCCAAATTCATAGATAATGATGGAAACCCCACTGTTATAGGGCTGCTCTCGCCTGGGAGCTGAGCTCAGAGGGTTGGAGCCTGATTCAGCTCCACAGGAGGAGTTACCAAGTGCTCAGCAGCTCTTGAAAATGTGGTGACTCCATGTAGATGAAATTAAGGGACTGAAGGTGGATTTAGAGGCTGAAGTGTACATGCAGCCCCTTTCACATAAGAGTGGTTAAATTATCCTGCTGGCATTCCTACAAATCTTTGGTATTGTGTGTAACTGCAAGCAAGGAACAGACCCATCATCTTTCTGTTCCCTGTCCCTCGACAGGGTGGGAGAGGTCCCTGGAAAGTCATCTCACAGCCCGTCCAGGGGTTGGAGCAAAAGGATGGAGTGAGACCCCCGCACCCAGGGTTCCTCCTGCCCAACACCTCTCCTGCCACCCATCCCTACCCACTCACCTTGCCTGCGCTGCAGCCACTGCTGCAGGGGCTGTGCGGTGCAGTCACAGACCCAGGGGTTCCCCTCCAGCCGGACCTGAGGGACTGCCTCCATCAGCTGAAGGCTCCAAGTGTCCACAGAGACCAGAGCATTGTGCTGCAGGTCCAGGTGGAAAAGCGCCTTCAGCGGCAAGAAGAAAGGGACCTCAAGCTCTTGCAGACTGTTGTTTCTTAGGAGCAGCGTGTGCAAGTTTTCCAAGCCCTTGAAAGTGTCCATGTGGAGGTAGGCGATGCTGCAGCTGCTCAGGTCCAGCAGACGCAGTGCCCTGAGGTTGGAGAAGACTGCTGGGCTCAGCGCCAGCAGGGCATTGCTAGAGAGGTTGAGGGACTGCAGGGAAGGGAAAGGCATCAAAAGAGTCCCGTGATGAGGCATGACCAAGGAGTTGAAGGAGAGGTCCAATCCAGTGATGTTGCTTGGAAGGGAACTTGGAGCGTGCAGGAGGCTCTTTCCGTTGCAGTCAGCCCACCCCTGGGAAAATAAATGCCGTCTGAGATGGGCTCTCCATGCTGGGGAGGATCTCTGGACCGAGACTCCCCAGGAGTTCAAATGTCTGAATTAATTATCCTTGCAGAGTTTAAAAAAGCAAAGACACAACCACTTTTTAAAAACACATAAGTTACCAGTGTGATGTGGGCCAGGATAAATAGAGAAAGAGGAGCAGGACAGCCCAGGACTGAGAGCAGCCAACTGAAAAAGTAAAGAAGGAGCATGGAGAGCTGGAGGAAACCCAAACAGCTGAGGCAGGTGCAAAGGGACCAGGCTGTCACCCTCCTGTTCTCCCTTACAGGGCAGTTGTCATATGGGGTCAGCTTGCAGACACCTTCCTCTTCCTCCCCCAGCCCCCGGGGAGCTCTTGCATGACACAGGGCATCCTCCCAGCTGGGGCAGGGAAGCAGGCGAGACCCTTGCCCGCTGTGAGGACAGGCAGACAGGCAGCCGGTGGGGATGAAGAGCAGTGGGCATCTACACAAGGCACCCGTGGAATTGCTGCTCGCCGGGGCCTGTGAGGGATCTTGTACCCGTGCCTCCAGCCCTCTCGCGTTTCTGAGGATACATGGGGAGCGGCAGCAGCTTTGTGTAGCTGTGGCTGTGCTAGTAAACAAAACAGACCAGGGACACTTCCCTGTCCCGAAGGGCCAGCAGTGCATGCTGGATGGATTAATCAACCCACAGGGATGGGTTTTTTCCCCAAAAAAACAGGGTGGAGCTGGTTCAAGCTGGTTTTGAGGAGCTGGTTCAAGCTGGTTTTGGGGAGCAGTCCCCAGCAAGTGTTACTACCACCTGGGCTTTACATGGGAGAGGGCCAGCTGCCCAAACTGACGCTGCCAGCGAGCAGGTCAGCAACTGGAGTTTGGTTGGGCAGGCACGGGCTCCTACTTGATGCCATGTTTTGGTCTCACAGGCAGAGATGCCATGCTGGAAGTTTGCTGCTGTCTGTATTCCTCAGTTTCTTGGTCTGGCTGCTTTCCAGCTACCCAGCCTTTCTGTTTCTTTGCCACTTGTATGATCACCTCTCCTTTCATCCTCTGTTCACCCAAATCTCCCGTCAGGCCCTGCCCTTCCTACTCGCTAGAGGAACAGATAAGCACTTACAAACCCGGGCTGCTGAGGACTGGGTTATAATGGGGCTGAGCCAAGGGGGCACCACACAGGTCCTGTCTCAAGCTCAAACAGGGCTGGGCTTGGGTAGGCTGGCGAAAACAGTGCAAGCCTTTTGGGGGCATATCTGAGAGCTCAGTAGGCAGCGCTGCCCTGTGCCATCCACCACAACACCCATTTTTCCTGCCTCCTCCCAGCTCCTTCCCCAGTGCAGCTGAGCTGCTGCCCGCCGCTCTTATCTCGGTGGGATGGGTTAGTTATACTCCCTGCTCCTTGCCAGGTGCTTGGGAATTCTGACCCCATGGTTACCCTGACCCTGGCATCACCATGCACTGGAGAGGGGTTGTGCCTCGCTACTGCTTGCCATGCACCCCTTCTGGGAAGCCGCATTATGGACCCCCAGAGTCAGAAATGGCATGGCTCAGACAAGGCTTTGCCAGCCCTGCCGTGCTCTGGTGAACGGGCTGGACAACACATGTTCAGCCCTAGGACAGGAGCAGGGGTGTTGTGGAGCTGGGAGCTGGAGTGCTGCAGGGCTGGGAGCAGGACAGGCTCCAGCTGTGGGTGAACCAGCCCTGTGGCTGGTGGCCACTGGCACAGCACATCTCCCCGTTAACTCTGCTCGCTCCCCCAGGTTTTCATTGCTCGTCATCTCTCCAGCCGTGCAGAGCAGGAGCTGCCTGCCAGGGCCTGCCACCCTGCAGGAACATGGTGCCACCTCCCCAGCTGTGCTGGCCGGACCAGGAGTGGGGTGTCCCTGCCCACCCCCCAGCTGCTGCCCACGCCGGAGCCCCCTCAGCCCCCCTACCTGGTGGTCGAGGCTGCAGGGGTGTCCCATCACCACTGACCAGGCGCAGAGGAGGCTGCAGACCCCGAGCAGGCAGGCAGGAGCCATTTGGCTCCAGGAAACTGCCAGGCAGAAAAACAAGTCTCAGAGAAAGCTGGGAAGCCGGCAGAGCCGGCCGTGCCGGGCGAGGTGTGGCCACGGCCACACAGCCTGGGGCCTCTGCAGAGCCCCTGTGGCCCGGCCACACGTCCCCGCAGACCACCAGCCCCTGGGAGCCAGCCTGGCTGCCGCCGTGGCCCCGCTCCCTCCCGGTGGCTGGGCACGGGTGAAAGGTGGCAGGGCAGGTTACACATTAACCACCGCGCCCCGCCACCTCCCACCCGCTGCCTCCCGTGACGGGTGGCATGGGGACCATGGGGTGCTGTGGGAGCAGAGCAGCAGGAGGTGTTCGGGGACCCAGAGGAGGAGGGGGGCACCTCTGTGGTGTCCACCTTGAGATGCCCATGCTTGAGGAGAGCAGCCTGAGCCTGGCCACAGTACTGCGCCGGCTGCTGTGTCCCAGCTCCATGCACCCCGGGGCAGGGGCACACATCAAGCCTTGGCCAGAGAAGCTGGGGCTGAGACAGCGGGAAAGTGTCCTACGGGAAAATAAAATTCTTATTGGGATTCAGGCGGGAAGGTGTTTAAACTGTGCAGCAAACGGGCAGGTCCCTGGGCCCCGCAGTGCCTCAGCAGTGTTGGTTTTCCAGCCTCGGGGAGTCACTAATAAAAATGTGGCTTCCCTGAGCAGCACCCAGGGCTCCTGTGGAGGTCCCAGAGGATGGGGGTGCCCCACCAGCTCTGGCACACCCTCTCCCCCGAGACCTGCAGCTCATCAGTAGTGTCAGTGGAGTCAGTGAAAATCTGGGAAATCCTGTCAAAGCAGCATCTTGTGGGTGTTGGGTGGGATGTGCTCCCATGCCCAGGGGTGCTGGGGTGGGTGAGTGAGTGGGGGCTGGCAGAGCCGCAGCCCGGGCTGGGGAGTTGCTGGCCTTGCCTGCTCCCAGCTTCGCCTCTGAGGCAGGAGGGAGCCCCAAGCTCTGCATTCCCTGCTCCCTGTTCCCACTCCTGCTCAGTGTCAGGAAGCCGCCTGCCAACAAGATCACCGTGGATCTGCAGTTTCTACCCCAGCGGCAGCCAGGACAGGGCGGCCCCGCTTCCCCCAGCAGCCAAGGGGCTCCTCCGCAGCCGCACGTCCCACCCTTTCCTCAGGGAAAGGGCTTCCCAGCAGCCCGTCCTTCATCCTGCGAGCATGTGGTGGATGCCAAGGCAGCTGCCTGCTCCCCAGGTGCTTTGCCGATGCCACCAGGAAGGCTGGGGCTTCTTGGCCACCCTGCTGCCAGGCTGCTGTGATGCCTGGTGGCAGAAGCCCTTAACCCAACCTTGCAGAGCCTCCCTGGGACCCACTGTGCACGTAAAACAAAACAAAACAAAACAAAACAAAACAAAACAAACAGCCAGAGAAGCAGGAGTAGAAAATGTTGCTGCAGCAGCCCAGCCTGTCGGTGGATTCACTGGGCGTTTGCATTTCCTATCAGGAAACGTATCAGTGTGTTATGGTTTCTGGCATGGGGTGCCGTGCATTAGAATGTGCAAATGATAAAAAAAATGGGTATTTTTGTCACTCACTATTTTTTTTTAGTCCATCATGATTCAGCAAAAAAGTGGAGGTCTGTGAATTCAGAAGAAATTCAGGTGCTTTCAGTGTGCTGTGAGTTGGGCAGCTGCGGCTTTCCATATCAGAGGCAAGCAAGTGTGGTGAGAGGCTTTGCCTGGGCTCGGCTGCACCCAGCTCTCAGGTTCCTCCTCTGGAGATAGATAAGGTTAAACTGGAGCTGTAGAGTCTTGCTTGGGTCTCCTCACAAAACCTCCCACAGAGGTTTCCTACCCCACCTCCAACCTGCGGGATCTGCCCAGATAGATACCTCTTATCCAGCTGTTCCTAGAAAAAAATGCAAGGAGACAAATCAGTTTGGGTCAGATCCCTCGATGGATTCCTGGGATCTCCTGGACATCACCTGGTGTGGGGAGCCAACCCCAAATGATTCCCATTCCCCAGAAGAGCAAAGCAACATGCCAGTTCCCCTCAGGCGGTTCCCCTCCATGCTCTTCTCCCTGGAGAGCACGCTGCAGGGCCTGCGGGTGCAAAGCCCTCCCATAAAGTGTGGTAGTTCTGTGTAAATAATCCTGTCCTCAAACAGATCCTCATGTTGGAGGATGCACAGAGCACATCACAACTCAGGGCTCCGTGTGCTGCAAGGGGAGCACACAAGTTGCTTCCCCAGGCGCAGCACGTATTAGCAGGCAGTGGCATGATAGCAATTACAGTTCTGAGTATAACTGGCCTCTACAGACACTGAACTGGGGGAAGAAGCCATTTATTTATCTATTTGTGTATCTATCCCCTTCCTGCAGCTGTACTGAGCGTGCAGGTGAGTCCCTAACCCAAAGTGCTTGAAAATGAGCTTAGGGTTGGCCAGGGAAATGGGGATGTGGGGTTGCCCAGGAGGGCACCGATGGCAGGAGGGACCAGCCTCAGTTGCCCAGCCCCTGCATGTTCGTGCTCCACATTGGCATTATGGTAGTGCCTCAAGTGCCCCTGGGGTTGCCCAAAAGCAGAACCCCTTGCCTATGCACGGTAAAGAACTGTGCTTAGTTTTCTGGGCAAACAGGGGCAGCTGTGACTGGTGTCCATCTTTTTTCGGATCCCCTCCATCCCTCCTGTCACGGGGTGGTGGGGTGGCTGCACTGGGGGAGCCCCTGTGCACTGCCATCCCTCCCTCAGCACACCGTGGGCACCGCGCGGCCATGGAGAATGTGCTGTAAATAGTCGGAAGCGATGAATGGATTTCCCCTTCCTCTCCATGTGTGCTTTAGCTTTTTGGCCGGATACGGCATGGGCTCGGGACACACCAAAACATGAGGCTCGCTCCCCGGCAGCCCTGGCTTTCACGTGGGAACAGTTCGATTTGTGAAGTGGTGTGAGGTTTGGCGGGTGAAGCCTACGGTGACTTCCTGGGAAACACCTCTCGTTTGCCAGGAGAAGAGCCCGGAGCTGGCCGGGGCAGCCTTGCAGGAGGGCTGGGTGCGGGACCCCCCGGGGCTGAGGGGCAGCAGGGCCATGCCGTGCCATGCCTGTGCCCGCGCTGTGCATGGCAAAATGCCTGGGGAAAGCCAGGCTTTCTGCTGCTTTCCACTTCCTCCCAGACATGTTTACTGCGGTGTGGGTGGAAGGTTTTCTCCCCCAGCAGCAGCCACCTTCCTGTGCAGGTTTTTTGTCACCCTGCCTGTGCTCCCGCTCAGCCCCGTTCAGCCCGGTCAACGGCCTCACAATGGGCCGCTGCAGGCCTGAGTCAGGCCCCGGAATAACACGGAGCCCAGGTGGGGCTGTGCCTCGGCACCCCGGCTCGTGGCGGCAGGAGGCCAAGGTGTCACGAGGTGTGTACAGCCTCAGCATGGCCACACGCTGCTCGCTGGGGAGACCCTGTGCAGGGCAGCTCCCTCCGGCTCCTGGAGTCAGGGCCGTCTCCGAACAATGGGTGGAGAGCAGGAAACGCCGCATGGGAAACAGGATTTGGCTGCGCCGCCGCCGCCAGCCACGGCCCCTTGGCCCCTTTCCTTTCCCTGCTCCAGAGAGCCCTTCCCACAGCCATCAGCCGCGGGGCTGCGCTGAGGGTTCGGGGATGCTGCCTCCCCAGCGGGCTGGGGCATGAGACCCTCTGCACAGCAGGCAAGGAGGAGGGTCAGGACACCTCCTGGCCAGGCTGGAGGCTCAGCATGGCTTGGGGACCCCTAAGCACGCAGCCCTAGCCCTAGAGGGGTGGGTGCCTGCTCCCCGGGAGAGCTGCCACTGGGCAGGGGACCTCAGTAGCGTCTTTGCCACCAAGCCCTGACCAACCAGGTGGCCACCGAGCAAGCGGGGACAGGGGCATCTTCCTCGTCGTGCCCAGGCTATGCACCAGAAGAGGCAGTCCCAGCTGCCCTGGACAGTGAACAGCAAGGAGGAGGCAAGATGGAGGGCATGTGCAGGGAGCAGGGGTCCTGAGCCACCGCTCACGTGGAGCCCCTAGGCAGCCACGGCCTCTGGCTCTGACTCCTGTGGCTGGGACATGCCGTGGATCTTCTGACCTCTGCCAGATTCGGGATGCAGTCCAAGGACATGGGAGTCCAGGTTTATCTTCTGCTTCTCCTCCCATGGCAAGCAGGTAAATCACCTCTTTCCCTCTGTCCCGGGAAGCAGCCCCTGCCCCAGGGAGTCTTGGTGGGACAAGGCAGCTGTGGGAGCTCAGTGGCACCATCAGAGCTGGGTTTGAAGGGAGGAAACATCCCTTTGTGATCGGCCATTTGGAGACCTCAGAGGCCAGCGGTTCTCTTCCCTGCCTGCATCTCCCCAGCCCCAGGGGCTGGGATGCGGGCAGCTTTTGGGAGGAGAAGGGCCCTGAGACCTCTGTCCTGCTGCACGCTTGGCTGATGCTGGGGGACTGAGCCTGTGGGGATGTCCAAAAGGAGAGTGGCAGCTGGGTGACGGGGTCTGGCCTTGAGGCAAGGCTGGGATGGCTGTACCCTTGTCCAGTCCTGACGTGCCTTTGTGCTCCCCTGCCCCAGGGGCCATCCTGGACATCACCCTGATCGCCAACGTGCAGAGCCTGTCCCACTCTGACTTCTTCCTCTCCTGCGTCATGGGGGAGCGCGACGTGAGCTACCTGCAGATCGAGCGGGAGAACAAGATTGTGATGACGCACCCCAAGATGGGCTTCCAAAACTACCGCAACCGCAGCAACTATGTCCAGGCCAGGGGCTTCTCCATGGCCGACCTAGTGGGGATCCTCTACTGCCTGGGGCGCACCCCGACCGAGCAGGCCCAGGTGCTCTACGTGCACAACAGCCACAATGGTGAGTGGCTGGGAGGGTGTGGGGTGGCGGGCAGCCCCCCAACTGCTGGCTTGGTCCACATAGGAGCTACCTGCCCTGTGATTTGCAATCCCAGTCGCAGCTGGCATGGCAGAAGGACAGGGATGACCCATGAGCTAGATTTGGGTTCCACCAACATCAGTGGGGTGGAGAGGGAAGGGATGTTCAGCTGGAGGAGTGTGGCTAAGCCCCGTGGAGACGTGCGGGGACGGGCAACAGTGCGGGCAGCCGGCTGGGCTGGGAATGGTGCCCAGGAGCAGGGCAAGGTCCAAAAGGAAGTTGGGCGCCCTTGGAGGAGGTGGTGGTGTCTGGAAATCATTAACCAGGGCAGGGGGGAGCCCAACGGAGATGTGCCAGCCT